AAAATTTAATAACACAACTGTTCAATGCTAAGGCTTCCCGCCAAAATGGAACTGTAGAGGAGAGTCTACTGAACAAGCCAGTACCTGCCGTATACCGGTAGAATCATAGAATCATAGAATCATAGAATCAAAGAGTTGGAAGAGACCTCATGGGCCATCCAGTCCAACCCCCTGCCAAGAAGCAGGAATATTACATTCAAATCACCCCTGACAGATGGCCATCCAGCCTCTGTTTAAAAGCTTCCAAAGAAGGAGCCTCCACCACACTCCGGGGCAGAGAGTTCCACTGCTGAACGGCTCTCACAGTCAGGAAGTTCTTCCTCATGTTCAGATGGAATCTCCTCTCTTGTAGTTTGAAGCCATTGTTCCACGTCCTAGTCTCCAGGGAAGCAGAAAACAAGCTTGCTCCCTCCTCCCTGTGGCTTCCTCTCACATATTTATACATGGCTATCATATCCCCTCTCAGCCTTCTCTTCTTCAGGCTAAACATGCCCAGCTCCTTAAGCCGCTCCTCATAGGGCTTGTTCTCCAGACCTTTTATCATTTTAGTCGCTCTCCTCTGGAACTGCCATCTGTTGAGGAGTTACGAAGGTGGAGGCATTACTTTTCATTCAATCATCGTAAAACCAGTCTTTGGATGGCTATCTGTCAGAAGCCTTTTAATAGGGATCCTGCATGGGAAAGGGGTTTAGACCTGATGGCCTCTAAGGATCCCATCCAAATAGATCGCTCTACTATTCAAGTGCCAATTGTGTCACATTGCCACGATGCTTCTCAAAACTGGGAAGGAGAGTCAGATAAATGGTCACCCTGATTTTGCATCAAGGACACGCTGCTCAACGCCACTGCTGCTCTTCTCCTCATTCCAATTTTAGCAGAGAACAGTAATGACAGCTATTTCCTTCCCTTGATTGCACTTGTTCGAACTGCTCTGCTCCGAAAGTCATTACGAAGAGGAGGGGAGGATGAAATATTTAGACCATTCAAACAGCCATTTACCAGTCGGGCTTCTTGCGTAAGGCGACCAGAATAGAAGCGTAGGAAGGCTTTTTTCTGCAAAGGGCTGGTTCTTTGAGCTTGAATGCTATACTATTATGAAAGCAGTATTCACCTGACCAGGCCTTGAACCGAAAGGGAGGGCAGACATGCTTCCAACAGATGTCAAGGGGCCTTAAGGAGTCTGGAAGGAATGAAGGAAAAGGTAGGCTACTGTGCATTGAATTACTATGGATCAGTAGTTCAGGACAAGCACTGCACCACGCCTTGCATTACCATGAAAAGCTAATTTCCTAAGAGACGGCAGTGTTAGTCTCTTGTAGCACAAAAAGGGGAAATAGGAGGGAACTAGCAGCCTTTTTAAGCCTGGTTTCCTTAGGCTCTTTTTTGCGTAATTCATGGATTTCAGTTTTGCTTTCATACCTCAACAAACGTCTTATTGTCTTAACCTTAAAATTTTCAGCAGTCAAGTACTAGCACAGGTGCTTTATGGTGCAGAAATCTGGGGTTCAGATACCAACCTTTGCAAAACCCTGGAAATTCTGCAGAACAAGTTCCTACGAAAGCTTTATTGTCTTACACAACTCTCTAGAGCAGTGGTTCTCAACCTTCCTAATGCTGGGACCACTTAATAGAGTTCCTCATTTTGTGGTGACCCCCAACTATAACATTATTATCGTTGCTACTTCATAACTACAATTTTGCTACTGTTATGAATGGTAATGTAAATATCTGATATACATGGTGTATCTTCATTCATTGGACTAAATTTGGCACAAATATCCAATACGCCCAAATTGGAATACTGGTGGAGTTGGGGCGGGGATTGATTTTGTCATTTGAGAATTGTAGTTGCTGGGATTTATAGTTCACCTACAATCAGAGCATTCTGAACTCCACCAACGATGGAATTGAACCAGACTTGGCATACAGAACTCCCATGACCAACAGAAAATACTGGAAGGATTTGCTGGGCATTGACTTTGAGTTTTGGAATTGTAGTTCACTTACATCCAGAGAACACTGTGTACTCAAACAATGATGGATCTGGACCAAACTTGCACGAATACTCCATATGCTCAAATGTGAGCACTGGTGGAGTTTGGGGGAAAATAGACCTTGACATTTCTGGGATTTATAGTTGGCCTACAACCAAAGAGCATTCTGAACCCCTCCAATGATAGAATTGAGCCAAACTTCCCACACAGAACCCCTGACCAGCAGAAAATGCTTCCAAAAATGAATAGAAGGACATGCAGAGAGATCTTCAGCCTCCTCTGTTGAAGGGGTTCCTAAGACTATCAGAAATTTACTGATAGTGTTTGGCAACCCCTCTGACACCTCCTCATGACCTCCCCAGGGGTCCTGACCCCCAGGTTGAGAAACACTGCTCTCAAGGTTTATGGCCAGTTACAAAGAGGCATCTTCTGTATCCTGATACAGTCCAGTTCTATTCAACACAACTGCTAATACTGCATATTAATGCATCTGAAGAAGTGGTTTGAAATCCACAAAAGCTCAGCCCAAAACATTACTTAAAGGGAATGCTAGATTACATCCCACTTTTCCATGTCTTGTCCCTTTCCATGCAAGACACTGAATAATTCATGTCACACCCTCTTTGCAAGTTGCAACTTATTGTCCTCCAGACATCTTCTTACCAGGCTACACTTCTCAAATGAGGAACACAGAATTACAAGACGCTCTCACTTTAAGCAAATTTATCATTCAGTGGACAGCTGTCTCCAGGCCTCCAGCACAAATTCTGGCCTTGGATTCAGCTTGTTCCATCTCTTTGTGTGTGTTGCTCCCTGCAGCAGAACTGGAGAAGCAATCCTTGACTTCTTATTGGGACCTCAGTTGTGGTAAATACCAGTAAAAAAAAAAAAAAGGGGGGGGGAGAGTTTGAGCAGTCTAAGCTGTAGCACAAGCTGGCCATATACCCTATTTACTCAAATCTAACACTCACCTATTTGGGCTAAATTACCTTGCCTAAATGAGCGTGTGCATTAAATTCACATCACACAGTAAGCCTAGTGTTGAGCCCAAGCAAAAGGGGAAGCTACTTCAGAAGCCCTTGGAGCTCCTCTTTCAGGGACATCGTCTCCTGTTTACCTCTCCGAACGTATTCTCCCCTACGAACCATCAAGATTACTAAGATCATCTGGAGAGGCCCTGCTCTCGGTCCCACCAGCCTCGCAAGCGCGCCTGGTGGGGACGAGGGACAGGGCCTTCTCGGTGGTGGCCCCGCGACTCTGGAACTCTCTCCCTCTGGAGGCCAGAACCGCCCCATCCATCCTAACATTTAGGAAACGGGTGAAGACGTGGCTGTGGAGTCAGGCCTTCGAGGAATGAGACAACACCATAGGACTCTGGATGGAAGTGGATATAGATCCATCTTAATAGGACGACTGACCACTGTAGTTTTATATTTAGTGTATTTTAAAGTTGATGTGTAATTTGTGATATATGATATTTTAATGAATGTATATGTTTTTATGGCTGTAAACCGGGCTGAGTCCCTCAACGAGGTTGAGAAGCTCGGTATACAAAACTGTGAAATAAATAAATAAATAAATAAATAAATTCTATGCAATGCTGGGATTTGTAGTTTGGTGAGATATCCATATTCTTTGGCAGAGAAGGCTCAAGGCCTTCCAGAGGGAATTGAAGACTTGGATGTTTAGACAAGCCTTTGAGAATGTCTAGCCCCAATAGTTCACAATTAATCACACAGCACTGCACTTTCATCCCATGCCCTTGTTCCTTAGCTACAACTTGCACTATCCCATTCCCTTGTTCTCGTTTACAGTTGGCCATGTTTTAGGACAGTTCTCACCATAGGATATTTGGTGCTGTTCTGAGTTCAAATTGTTTTATATGCTACTGGTTTTATTTTTGTATTGTACTGTGTTTATTTTATGTGTTGTTTTAGCTACTTTGTGCCATACGTAAGCCACCCCGAGTTGCTTCGGGAAGATGGAGGCGGGATACAAAAATAAAGTTGTTGTTGTTGTTATTATTATTGTAAAACTACAGCCCCCAGAATTCCTTCCCATTGAACCAGGGCAGTTAAAAGTGGGTTCCTTCTACAGTATACATGCAAGGTTTTGTTTTGCATTTCTGAAAGCTTTGGTGTCCTAACAGTTTGGTTTTTAAAGAAGAAATTCTAAAGCAGTAAGCCACAGTAATGGCCAAATGACAAAGAGGGCAGTTTTTGTTGCTGCACATTGCATTTGGCAGCAAATACTTTTTTTTGTTTCAGGGATCTGAAAACTGAGGTATTTATTAGATTTAATGGTGCATGAGTAAATACATTATTCTTCACTTCACAAATGTTATCCTTGTTTCATATTCCTTGGAATAATCACCCCGACATAACTGGAGTGGACTCAGGATGTGACTGGAATACAGATCCCATCAGCATCTGGGAAATGCACTCTAACAACATTGTCATCCAGATGCATCAAGGGCTCATGCAACCTTCTGCCTAAAGTAGGCATGGGCAAACTTTGGTCCTCCAGGTGTTTTGGATTTTAACACCCACAATCCCCAACAGCCTCAGGCCCTTTCCTTTTCCCCCTCAGCCACTTAAGCTGAAGAATTGTGGGAGTTGAAGTCCAAAACACCAGGGGGGCTCAAGTTTGCCCATGCCTAGTCTACACTGTAGAATTAATACAGTTTGAGTTTTGCTAACAGTAATGGTTGCTGTTGTTATGGGCCTTCAAGTCTCATTAAGCAGCTGGGGGGAAAAAGATGGGACCTGAGGCTGTTAGGAATTCTGGGAGTTGAAGTCCAAAACACCTGGAGGGCTGAAGTTTGCCTATGCCTGGTTTAAAGGAACATGACAGCTGCAGGGACCAGATAGGCCTCTTGGGGGCAGCAAAAGCACATGTTTCCATCCAACTCTTGCTGAGACTGCCTCAAAGCCGCACCCAGGATTCATTCAAACCATACAGTACAGAAAGGCGCTGGTTCAGAGAAAAGGGGGACAGGATCCACACTGAATGCCAAGAGAAATCTTTATTTTTAAAGGCGTTCCCTTAGGCGTATGTTTGGCAGACATACGATGGTACACGCACACATTTTATGTACACTCTTACACACAACTCACAGAGCATCACCAAGCGCTTGAACCAATAAATTAAAAAGAACAAAAAGAGAGACCAAGGGCCCGTTATCTTCATGGGAGAAATGACGTCCCCTCCCCCTGCCCTGCCCCAGTCCGGTCAGGACAGCATTTGGGGGAAATGGAAACAAACAAAAGCCAAGAGGGACACATCCAACGCTGCTGCCGCAAACTCTGACCCCCCCACCCCACCCTTCACTCCCCTGGTTGGGCCCCCCATCATGGAGGGTGTAACAATCAGTGTGCTTCTTCCTTCCTTCCTTTCTTTCTCCAGAGGTAGCTGCCAGTGCAGCCTCATACTCGGGCCTCGATGCACTCCAGAGTAGAGATGATCTCCTCCGGCCGGTGGCCCTCAGCTTGGGCGCACTGGCTGATGTGGGCACTTGGGCTCTCAGCACCTCTGGGGCAGGGGGCAGGCAGGCAGGCGGCGGTCTGAGGGTAGGGGGAGTCACATTCGTCCGAGGTAAGGTCTGGCACGTCGTCCGACTGGCTGTCAGAGCTCTCCAGGTCACTCCGGATGCTCTCCGGCTGTGCCAGCGTGATGTCCCAGGTTTGGCTGGTCGCGCAGTCCTTCGGCTCACAGCTTTGGTGGTGGCATAGCGGCTCCTGGTCCTCCTCACCTTCCTCTTCCTCCTCTTCTTCATTCTCCGCCATCTGGGGCTGAACGTGGAGTGAGTCCTCCGTACTGCTTCCACTTGCAAGCTGGTAGTGGCTCGGCTTGGTCTCAATGTCCACCTGGATCTCCATGTTGTTACACTCTCTGCAGGGAAAAGGCCGAGTTAGTTCTAGTATTAGTCGTCACTTCTACTGTGATTCCTGATCCTAAAGCAGGGGTGTCAAATTCATTTCCATCGAGGGTCACATCAGCCTTATTATGGTTGCCTTCAAAGGGCTGCTGAATCCATGGACAGAGACTCCCTGTCTCCCAGAGGACCAAATCTATCATTTTTTACATAGTGATCGGTGCTTTTTAGCCTTTACCCAGTTTGGGTCCCCAGCTGTTACTGAACGACAACTCCCATCATCTTGGATTATCCATCATGCAGACTGGGAATAATGGAAACAGCAACACAACAGCCCTTGTGGCTCTAAGGTTGGGGAAAGGTTAAAGGGTATTTTCTAAAAGATATTGTCTCCACAAGCCTTGTATCTCATTTCAGGCCTCACTCTCTCGACTAAACAGAACAAACAGCAGCCTTCCAGATGTTCCTGGAACACAACTCTCATCAGCTCTAGTCATAATGTCTAATGGAGTCCCCAGTGGCACAATGGGTTAAACCCTTGTGCCAGCAGGACTTGCTAAGCAACAGGTCAGCGGTTCGAATCCGGGGAGAGTGGGTTGAGCTCCCCCTCTCAGCTCCAGGTCCCCATGAGAGAAGTCTCCCATGGGTACACGGGTATCCCTTGAACAACGTCTCTCATACCAGAAACGACTTGCTATTTCTCAAGTTGTTCCTGACACGAAAAAAAGAGATGTCTAATGTTGAAGAATATAAGAGTTGCAGTCCAGCATCTGGAGGAAGGCCACATTAAATGACACAGAGGGCCAGATTTGGTCCAGGGACTTTGTGTTTGACACATGTGTCCTAAAGGGTTTAGCATGTTAACAACACTTACTTTTAAAAAATGCACTACAAAATGAATTACCTCTACACAAGCACAAACAGACACAAAGAGAAATGTCTTCTCATTTCCTACTCCACTAAAAACCTAGGGAGCTTCACAACCTTTCCTTCTCCCTGATGCAGGATTAGAGGAAAGTTTGTGTTTTGCATTGACACACGGAGAAGGAATTATCTGGCCTTCTGCCTTGTACATGAAACAAAAGGAGGATATTACAGTGTGCTGTTTGGCATATTCGATCTGGCCTGGGAGTTGACCTGGACCTGCTTCGCTCTAAAAACAAAGGGAGGGGGGGCATGTGTTCATAGTGAACAGCAATCAAAAAGGGAAAGTTCCAGACTGTGCTTGTAAACAAAATTCCTCTTTAAAGGCCTAAGCCATATTAAATCCATCCTGTGGGAGCAGGCAATTTAGCAGCCCTGAGAGTGATCTTAAAAGGCCTAAGCAAGCACTCAGTTCACATTTCTAGAAATATATTTCTAACCCTTCCTGGCATCCTGTTTGATAGGGATGGGGAAAAACGTAAGTGCGAGTGGCAGAAAGAAAGGCAAACTGATTTAAACTATCCTAGTGCCAGGCTGAAGCCTCCGAAAGCAGAAACACAACCCTTAACAAAAAATGAAAGAACCCTCAATCTAGATTAAAATACAGATAGCATACAAATATAGTTAT